AAATGACCGACCATAGGAAATGAATGGGAAATGGCAAAAATCTGTGTGCACAATCTACAAATCCCCCACGATGCAGAAAAAAATTGCACAGCAATGAAGGGGTGAAACTCTAAAACATTATAGAGTGCAAAATCAACACACCATCTCACACACGCATGGACACACACTTGTACACACAGACACCTATGAACTGGCGTTACTGTAACACTGCAACTATGTAAAATAAAATCAATAATTCAACTACAATGCAGTAAAAAATGGACAGCAAGGAAGGGGTTACAAAAATAGTCAAGAGTGTAAAACAGATACATCCACTCACACACACTTACTTACACATACTCACAGACACGCGCATACAGAATTATACATACTCAAATGAACTGGTATGGCTATAACCATATAGCCAAAATGAGTCAGAAGACTGAAATAAGAGGTTAAAATCAGATCAGACCCAGAAGGATTAAGCTCTGATAAAGCATTCCTGTTAATTTTTGTTTCATTTTTATAGAATTTTAATGTTTTGTGAAACAAAATACTTTCTGTGTTCAGGTTTGAATGTAGTAATAATAATGCAAAAACCTACACTTCAAATCAACATATAACACAACAAAAAACATAAACCTTAACAAAAAGTAGTCTTTGAGAATGCCTTAATATACATTTACACCCACAACCTAATAAAAGTAAACAATTACGTATAAAAACAACTAGGGAATTCACAAGCCTCTCTATAGAGTCCTATACAGGAATCTAGTGGTTACACCATTAAATTACAGGTTTTTCCTTTTTTTGCTCTGACCAGGAGGTGCTATTCTGCCTTCAAAAATTGGATTTTAAAGGCCTAGTCTCTATTTTAATCTGAAATACTGCATTAATTGAAAAATAATTTTTAAAAATTAGAAAAAAAAGTGTACTATTTTCAATGGGAAAAATTGATCATAATTATTGCATAAATGTTAATTAGTACCATAGAATTCTCTCAAAATACAAAAGAAAAAATATTATTGAACAAACATATATTAGATTGATTTTACTTAAGAAAAAAAAAGTTACATTTCAGGTGTCCGGTCTCTTTTGACCGCGAAGACCATGAGTGTGACTCTCAAATGAGGAACGCAAAAGGGTTAAGTGTGCAGCCATGTAATAAGTGCAATAATGTCCATCCAGCTGGTGTTATCACACATAACCCTAAAAGGGTGAGCAGGACCTGAAGCTAAGCAAAAAGAATGTACATTATATGACCAACAGAATGTATTATCCTGTATGCAATTTACTGTATGGTGCTGTATGCAATTGTTTGACTGTACTAAAGCATAACAATACCATAATATGTTTGCAGATATTTAGGAAACATGCTAAGTTGACATATGTTTCTCCACGATTCTGCATAATTAATAATCATAATTTTTAGATCACAATTCTGAACAGACTACTAAACAAAATAACATAATCAGGGCTTCAGACTAACATCTGAGTGCAGTGGCGCTGGTGATTTTGTGATGGAGGTAACGGAGAGCCTTGAAACAATTGCTGTTCCTGTTTCATCACTCAAAACAAAATGTGTTTTCATTAAGATCAGGGAAAAGCAGTATGTCATCCCAATTGTCAACACAATTGAAGCATACTGAAAACTTAGTTTAGCGCCTGTTCCTTTGAACAGACTGGTAGCTTAACCCACTAGTGTTAGAAGACAATCAAAAGTGCATGTACAGTGTGTGCATAATTATTATTCAAGTTCATATTCTGGTCATATTTTTTTTTCCAAGTACATTTTACAATTCCAAACCACATCAATGTTAATAACTACTATTAATTTTGTATTTAATAATTTATATGTGATATATAATTAAGGAATGCTGGAAATGAAAAACGTCTTATATTCAGGTGTGCATAATTATTAGGCAGGTTTTCTTTTACAGGTAAAATGGGACGGAAAAAAAATAGATTTAACTCAGATTGAAAAGTCAAAAATTATTAAATGCTCATGAGAAGGATGCAATACTAAAAATTGCAAAATTAAGGCGTGACCATTGGGCAGCAAATCACTAATTATTTCAGCAGGGTCAGACAAAAACAGGCCAAGAAGAAAAGATGCATGTTAATTGCAAAAAAAATCAGGAATTAAGAATTAGGTGTGAAACCATTAGGAACCCTTTCAGTCTCCAGCGCCACCATTTTTCAGAACGGCAACGTACTTCTGGAGACTCCAGAAGTGCAAGGTGTCAGGTTCTTAGAGACTTTGCTATGACAAAGTCTCTAAAACAGACTTTGGGGTGTGCTCCAAAACAGTGACAAAATTCGGATTTAGCATATACTCACCATGGCTGCATTTATTTGATCAAAAATACAGTAAAAACAGTAATACTGTGAAATATTACTACAGTTTAAAGTCCCCATGAAATCAAAATTAAAAGTTTTTTTGGGTGTTAGTATCCATATGTTAGTCTTAAGTTTATCTATAAGGCAGTGTGCTCCAAAACAGTGACAAAATTCGGATTTAGAAGATATAAGCATTCAAAGCTTGCACTTCGTCACTTCCGCCAAAACGGATCAACGATTTTTTTTGACATCACCTCGTACTTCAGCTTCTCATCAAATCTTCTGACCAAGCAAATGCTCTCTAGAATCCGAAGCGCCCGCCCCCTACACTATAAATAGACGCTGAAGCCGCGGCTGAGATTGGTCAGTTGTTCACAGTGTACGGCGAATGGCACGTAGTGCACAATGTAGGCGATAGGGAAGAATTCAGACAGTGTAAATATACTTTCAGTTGGGGCAAATGAGGTCTGGTTTCACATTGTGTCACGCAAACCGCTTGTTAGTCGTTCATTCACTGTTCATTTTAAAACATGCATTTTACAGCTGTATTTTCATGGGAGGTGGTCTTATCTGAAAAAGGATGCCTATTGCATGTTTACTTATAGGTAAAACATGTCAAAGCTGAGTTTTATAATGTTATTTGTTGTAATAACTGACACATTTGCCAAATTTGATTATTGTTTCATTTTCAGAAATCATGAGATTAATTATGATTATTTAATTGAGGCCTAATTTTTAAGAGTAAAAAATAACTAAATCTGTAGTTAATACTGTAGAAAAACCATGGGTTATTTAATGGTTCTACTGCCGATGCTGTGGTAAACCATAGTTCATTTTGCAATTACTATGGTTTTCTACAAAAAAAACATGGTCTCTCGAGCCCCTGTCCCTTTAATCGCTGACGCTAAAGTGCCCTTTCGGTCCGCGATTTCTACCGAGGGGGTAGAATACATGAATACATGCCTCCACCTAGTGGACTCTCCAGGATAATGCAAACTAATTCTCAGATGTGTGTGGTGTACTGCTGCAGTGTGGAAGCAATAACTGGAACTCTAATCATGATGTGCTGTATTTATGTGGATTTTTAGTTTTCCAGAAGAAAAAGTCGGAAGGAGATGCTGAAACATTGTACTCTTTTCCCACAAGACAGGGTGAGATTTGTCTGTCTGAAAATTGAATAGTTTTATATGCACTATGACGTTATGAGTCTGATCTCATCTTTAAATAATAATAACAAAAAAAAAAAAAGTTAAAGCTGACATTTTAACTGCTTTCTGGTCTCCATGGTGACAGCGAGGCCGAGGGACAGCATCTCAACCACTTATGACACCTTTGTGCCCAGTCAGCCACAAGGACTGGACGAGCTGATAAAACTTCAGCAAGAGGTGAAGATGGGCTCTTTGAGTATAGATGATGCTCTGGATCGATTCAACGACTGGCAGAGGCTTCAGAAGGGAATGGATAGCATCCAACAGGTAATGGACATGGTTAACCCTTTAGAATTCCTTTTAGTATGTTAATAGAATACTAATATAATACTTTTTACATTCTCACTAGTTTGTATATAATAACAATATTTTAACAAATGTAATTTCAATCACATATCAAACCTTGTATTGTGTTTCTGTGATGGAAATGACAATGTAAACATCTTTAAATAAAAATGGATAACGTTTTTTTCATTACAATAATGAGAATTATGAGAACAAAAAGGTGTGGATCGTTATTTTTGCAGCTGAACTATTGTATATGCGTTTGTAGTAGTTTCCCTTTCAGATGCAAAATGTATGGGAATTTACTAAGGTGGTTTACTAAAGTTTGTGGTAGTCAGTTTACTTGTATTTGCATCATTTAACTCTCCCCAAAAAATGTCTTAACCCATTATGCGACTGTGTTAGTAGATTACCCACACCTTTATCATCAGCTCTGCTTGTATGCGACCCTACGCTAATTTGCGCTGCTTTTAGTAGACTGCGCTATTATGGAAATTACCCGGCTGCATCTGTGTATTGTCAGTAGATCTCCCACAGAACTTCATCTGCACTTTTATGGGATTGCAGTCTCATAATAATTTGCCCTTTTTAGTAAATATGGGCCATAGTGTAAAGCACTGTGATTTCATAGGTGTATGAGACTGTGACAGATATTATTTATATATTGTGACAGATATTATTTATACATACAGTCTGTAAGCAATATTTTTTATAATAAGCAAAAGGATTTGTTATATTATTATATTTTATAATATAATATAATATGAAACAACTTGTAAAATGCAGAAACAGAATGGTTTTCATTGCTATTATGTCTGTCTGTCTGTTTGTTTTTTTTAGGTTTAGGTTTAAGTTTTAGGGTTAGTAGCTATTATTACCTAGTTATTGTAATTACAATAGTAAGAACATAGTACGTACATGCAGCTGTATTAAAGAAACTTTCAATCTTAATTATTGACAAGATTTGAAAAAGTTTTGTTTTCTAAGTGAAATTTAGGGGAGCGCGGGGCACAAAGTAACGCGGGGTTAGTTGTAACCCACATGGTTTGAATATTTCCACACATGCTAGCATAACCACATTTAGAGTATTTATTAGTTACCATATCAACATTATATATAAACAAAAAAAAGTGTGCCAAAATTAAAAAATATTTTGAAGATATCAATGAACATTTATTTTACCATAGCAAAATTAAAATTCTGGCTTAAGTAAAATTTTCATCTCTGTTTTTATTAATCATTTAAAATAAGACAAATCTGCTATTATTTGAATCTCCAATCTGTTATTTATCAGTTTAGATAGTTTTTTGAATGCTTCGCTAACTAGCGGAAGACAGCAACTAGTTTTAAACTCCAGTTGCGCAGATGGGGCACGTTGTAACACTGCTTTACAATGTGCTATTCTATGACATTAGGGATGTAATTTACACTATTTACTTTAATGAATTTTAATGAGAAACAACGAGAAACAGATGAATAAAGACTGACAGTCAATGTTTAATGTTTAGAAATTATTATTTCAAGACATGTAAAGCATTTTTGCTCGTTTATATGGGCCGTCCCAAGCTGAACCCCATGTGGATTTACACAAACTGAGAAAGTCAAAAAGTGTTACTTTGTGCCCCGCTCTCCCCTATATGATTACTAAACAGATAGGACAGAATTCTGAGTTAGCACCAGGACTGTGCTGTTTCTGTTTATGAGGCAGTCAATCCCTATGCACATTTGAAAAAAAATGAGCTTTTAAACAGAATAGTTAATTATTTTTACCTTACACAACCAACAAATAAATTATTGATTCCCCATGACATGAAATCTAAAAAGTGCATATTAAAGCCTGTTTAAAATTTTTTTTCCCCAGGAGAAAATACAGCAGCTGAGGGCTAGTATCATCAGCAACAGAGAGGATGATGAAAGTGTCTATGGTAGGTTTATTGCACTTTTCCATGACATTCTAATTTATTGAGATGCACCTGTATATGTATGCAAAGATTTCAAGAGTAAATAAAAAAAAACCTTGGGGCCCATTTTCAAGTTTTTTTTTTAATTTTTTTTTTTTAAGTCGGGTTGCACATGCATCAAAACACATTTTCTCAGAAAAAAAAGTTGCTTGTGTTGTTCATTTTGCACAATCACTTTGCACTCAGTCCCTATCAGTTGAGAAAACATCTCACAGATCAGCGAGATTCCTTAATGTAAAGATTACAGTGAGAATATGAGAAAGAGAAAAATAAAGTGACCTTGGGTGAGCTAGACGGAATGCAATTGTATGTGAGCTAACAGGCATCTTTTCTCTCCATCAGATAAAATCAGCATCATTCATCACACACCAAGTAAGTAAGAAATGCCCTGCTATGAAAGTAAGAATTTTTTACTTGTTGCAGTTACATTTTCTCTATAGCTGTCTCCTCCTTTCCTTATATGTGGCAATTAAGCTTTTGTGTCTCAGGGAAACTGTTAGACCTGTTGGCTTATACACAAGGACTTTAGTCTCTTTGTCTGGAAAACTGTGTAACATGGAAAACTTTGAGATACAATAGTACCTTCTATATGTCTATACCATCCTATGCTCCTATAGAGTGTTTTTGCAATTTATGAGATCACATCTAGAGTCAGCCACCAATCACTAAGCTCTGTCTACTCGTAATAGCAGTGTCAAATACTTTAGTGAATTTTGTATTTATTTCTATTGTAGCTGCATCTGCAAATGAGTGTCAAAGAGCGAGTCAGCAAGCGGACACTGAGTTCTACAGTAAACCTATAAAAGGACATAATGTGAGTTTTCATTTTGCACATGCATTTGTCGTTTCTTAAGAATACTATAATACTTTGTTTCTAGCAAATGGTTTTACCCATTCAGTTGTCATATTTTTCATCTGTTCTTTTTTATTAGTCAAATTTCTTCAGGAAAGCAGACAAACAGTAAGAGAAGGTATTAACAAACAAACCATTTAATATTTACTTTAAAAATATATAATAATAATAATAATAATAATAATAATAATATGCAAAATATGAATCATTAGCTCTTTTGTAAGTTTAATTCATGAATAAAAGAAAAATAAAATAAATTCATTCAAAACAATATGCATCTGTAATGCAGTTTCATACAAATTTCAAGAAAAGTTTAACTGTGTGCTGCTGTGACCTTTATTGATTACATTTTCATCTTCTTTCAGTCATCCTGATTGTGGAAGCACTGATCTGTCAAAGAAATGCACTAAACAGGAACTGATACAATATAGTGCACATTAATATCAACAATTTCATGGCAATTCATAACTATTTTACATGATAATTGCGGCTAATTTGTATGATTTTTTTATTATCCTGTTTGTACGTTCATATGATCTGCTGATGGTTTAGGTGTGAGGTTGGTGGTGGACCTTCATGGTTACTTTTTTCTAAAAATCATTAATTTTCATACAAATCACATTGTATGAATTCATACGAAAGTGCCTAAAATAGTGAAGTTTTCTCATTACATCAGGTTAGTTAATATCCAGTGTCAGAGAAATAATAAATAATTATTCACTTTTATTCATATTCCACTAGGGTAATACTTTAGAATAGGGAATACTATTCACTATTAACTAGTTGCTTATTTGCATGCATATCGCTAACATATTGGCTGTTTATTAGTACTTACAAAGAACATATTAATGCATTATTTTGCATGACCATATTCTAGATCCCTTAACCCTACCCCATATCTAAACATAACTACCATAAACAACTACCTTACCTACTATCAATAAGCATCAAATTGGGAGTTTATTGAGAGAAAACTTAGCTAATAGTGAATATGTGTTCCCTAATCTAAAGTGTTACCCCCACTATTGATTATTTAATTCTCCCACTATTTCTTCTTTTTAACTGACTGCTCAAGATTGTGTTGTACATTGTTATACAGAGATCTTTTTGTATCCTTCACTGCCACTATTTATCAAAAATCATTTAGACAATATATTGACAATTTCTTTACTATGTTGCCAATAAATAAAATTCAACTTGAGATTCTACCATCATCTGATGAGAATGTCTTTCTAATGTTTTCTGATTAATGGTTTTAAATATATTTGAGTTACATTGCATGTTCTGATCTTGCTTTATTATTATTATTATTATTATTATTATTATTATTATTATTATTATTATTATCATTAAGCAAATTTACTGCAAGAAACCAGTAGAGCCCAGTGGGGAATTTAAAAACCTGCATGCATTTCTTAGAAAACCATGCCAGTCTTGGCTGTGGAATGTTCACAAGGGGGTGCTGTGCTACTAAGCATGGTAATCGGTTTTCTGACTCAGATCTCTCATGTTGTATTGATGGGCATTTTGATAGACAAATACAAAGCCACTGCACAACCCATTGTCCCTGTGGACCTCTCCGTACCATACGGATCGCTGATTGTAAGTAAGGACACAAACAAATGTCTGGGAAAAAGCATCTACAGAAGAGTGAGGTCTTCCCACATGCTGCTTTGGTGTCAGGGGACGTGGCTCTAATGTGGCTCTGCGATTCGAGGCGAAACACCGGGAGCAGCGCTGCGCTCTGGCTGCCAACCCTAGCAGCTGGACACATTTGCATTATCAATCATGCTCTTTGTGAATAATATGTATTAAAGCCTTGCCACTCCACAGTGCTTAGATGAGCCAGTTTTGCCTCCAGAGATGATTCGGCTCCTACAGTCATGGTGGCATTTGTGTTGTGTGTTTGCCTGTCACCTGCTGCTCTGGGAAAGAGATGGGCTTTCTGATCCAGGGCTGGATTGAGTTTCAACATTCCCTCTTCAACTCTGAGAGCATTCTATACAGGGTAAAAGAAGCCCCACCAGCCTGTATGATGTTGTGTTATGTTAGATCTCGGGCAGTTCACTTGCAAGAGAATGATCAGTGAGCAGCATCTAATCACCAGTGTGAGTTGCCGAAATAAATATGATTATTGATGCCACTAGTCCTTGGCCTCCTATGGAAATTCACATCATGAGCTCTCTCAAACTTAAGCTGGAAGAGGGATGATAAACCCTATACAAAGGATTAAGTTTTCCCTAAAGTATAGCGCTTTATCAGGGGGAGTGAAGGGCAGGATTAGGATTCAAATGCACCAACAATGCTCTCATAATACCACAAACTGATAGAGATCAAACCCAGCTGAGGCTCACACTCGATGGCAAAGCCAAAGAGAAACCCAGACTGGGGTTTCTCAGACCTCTGCCATTTATCAGCCATTTCCTTTTACGTTTTGTGATTTGATGTGATTAACTAACCTTTCCAGATGTGTTCTTAGAGTCCTTAGAGTCAACGTACAATTGCAGCTCCTGAAGTTTTTCACATAACAGATGCACTCAAGTCCACTAAAACACAATTGCACACAAAAAAGCACTTTAGTCCCTGTCCCTGTGATTAATATCCAGAATTATACACAGCTGCTTCCCCTTTGCAACCTAACAGAAATCACGCAATTTCACAGTCAGTGGTATTCTTTCATCCCATAATCCCCCTGCATGTGTACAGTATATGTGACCCTCCACAGACAAGGGCCAAGGCCGCTGTCTGGGCACCTCCAGTTTGTAAGATGAGCTTTAATTTAGGGTTCCTGCCTGGGTAGAACCAAGCCATTGAATTGAGTCCACCACAGCTCCACATTCTGCCTTAATCTCCCCAGCACATCATAAGCATGTGCTGGGGAGATTAAACTCTAAAGCAAGTGTTTGACAGGATCTGTTATGCATTGATATGACTTGAAGGGAAATATATTTCCAGAGTTAAACAAATGAGTCAAAAATGTGTAGTACACTATTGCTCACAGTCTTATTAGTGTAAATGGTACTCTCCATTAACATGTTGCTAATGGTTTGTCCTCTTATTGCTGAGTGTTTGTACTGCTAAGAACAATGCATGGAGTGATTGCTAATCAGCATACACAAGAGCCAGGTGTCCTCTGAGTGTGTTAGCAACAACTGCTCCTTAACAGATGTTTCACATGGAATTTCACTGAAGTACTGGCAGGAGAAAATAATCAAGTATGAGGCACTGATCTAACTTTTCACTTGTCATTCTAATGCAATGAATAAAACATACTTGATATTTCCAAACTCGCATAACGGGCAAGTTATAATAGGCAAGTTATCAAGTGCCTGAGTTTTTTGTTATGTAAAAGACATACAAATAAACAAATCAGCATCAATCAAACATAAAGAAGAAGAAATCATATTCCTGTGTCTGGATGTGTTTAGAGAGGTATTGGGAAACCTGAATGTTCAAACTCAGCTGAGCACATCTGTCTCACCTCTTTTAAGAATAATATTTGGCTAAAGAAGTAAAACAAGATAACCATCAGTTATACCTTCTGGAGACAGTAGATTATTGAACATCAGATCTATAGCAGATATTTATAAAGGTAGCAGTTTTAATTTGATTATGGACAATAGTACCATAATTCCATCTACTCATGCTCATAACTTTGGTGTGATTTGACATACGATTTCACATTTTAAGAGTATCACAAAATTTGCATTCTGTAGGCCTTTCCTCACACTGTCTGATGCTGAAAGGCTTATTGACGCATATGTTACTTCCAAGATTGATGATTGTAATGCACTATTTGTTGGTCTACCTGTTAAATCTTTCAAATGGCTGCAATATATCCAGTATTAAGCAACACATGTTCTCACTTACACTCCATCTCGTCAGCATATCACAGGCGTGAGGCATTCTTTATAGTCTGCATTGGCTTCCTGTTCAGTTGTGTATTGATTTTAAAACTCTCACTTTAACTTACAAAGCTGTGCATGTAATGGCCCCTTTTTATATCTGTGACTTAGTTACCCTTTACCTGTCTTCTCGTTCTCTTTGTTTTGCTGATTCTTTTACTTTTTAGCAGCTCGTTTCTTGTTGATTAAAATCTTATGAGTGAGAAAGCTTTCTATGTTGTTGCACCTAGGTTATGGAATGCATTTCCTTTTACAGTTAGAAATGTTCTCACATTAGACCATTTTAAGTTGTTGTTAAAAACCCATCTTTTTAAAATTGCCTACATAGATTGAGATGATTAGTATTTTATTGCATTAGTTGGGTGTACTGTAATGTTTTGTATTGATTTATTGTTTTGTACTGCTACAGAATTTTTATATTTTATTTGTAACTGTTTGTAGCAATTTTGGGTACTAGAAAAGCACATTATTAAGAATATGTATTACTACTACTACTACTACAGTATCTATGTACCATATTAAACTAAGCTAGCTTGTGTAATGGATTAAGGGTATAATAATTACATAAATCATATAAAATAATTATAAAAAAAGAATCATCTCTAAATTCAGACAATTTTATCTTTAAAAATGTTTTACTATGTAGTGTCCTTTAATTTGGAGTAAGAGAAACTGGGGCAGTGGCTTTATTGTGTCAGACATGTGTCACTTTGCTCGAAGCTGATTGGTCAAATTTCACTTTGAGATCTCTAAACCAGAACATAACCTGAACTAAACTGAAATTTACCTGGCTAGCCAGCTAATCTGGCTTCATGCTACAGGCCCCAGGACACGGCACGTTTACACTTGGCAACATCAACATGACTTCTCTATCTGGATAAATGATCGGATCTGTATTTCCAGCGCAATATTTAAAGGTGGGATATGTTTTTTTTCAAAAACACTTTATAAAACTGAGTCGGACCGAGTACCAAAACAAACTTGTAGCCAATCAGCAGTAAGGGGCGTGTCATGATGGTGAGGAGAGAGCGCTCAGTGCACAGGACGGACATCAGCCGAGGCGAGCGACGACAGAAAGATAGAGATGGCGGATAAAAACAAAAGAACAAAACGTCTGCAGAACAAAAGAAGGCTTAACAACGTTGCCTGGGTTGCGTACGTATATATGGGGCAGAGCTATCAAAATAGGGGCGATACCCTTTTGGGGTAGGGCCGTGTTTGTTTTGGTGATTTGAAATATCAACATTGGCTACCAGAAATCACTTACCCCACCTTTAAATACTGCAGAGGATGGCTCAAGAGCAAAGTTGACCTGAAGTGGTGGGTTTTCTTTTGAAAACTATTTTCAGTCATGGGACATTTTACAAATCGAAATAAATGTACGAGCCTCACTAGCGCACTGTTCTTCTGACAGAGAGGGGGCGGGGTTTTGCGTGACGTCGACCTGCGAATGCAGACACGATGGCTGGATTGCGTTTACATTGCACTGAGATCCAATCATAATGCGTCCTCAACTACCTCTGGAGCAGGACACGCTGATCGGA